GGGCCTCCATGCAATAACCATGTTTGTATAAGTTCTTTGGATGTACATGTTAAATGATTGTGGTCTTGCAATTCTTGCAATTTTCACACTTTCAAAATATATCTTTACATTGTATGTGTTCCTTATCTCATTAATCCATTTTTGTGATGAATTTAAGAATTTTGAACATAACAACATCTTTCTTTGTTGCATGTATGTTTTCTAAGTTACTGTAAATGATATTTAATTTCACTGTTTTATGCTTACTGATTGGTTCCAATTTAAAAATTGTTTACTGGCAGGAATAGTGGTTTGTATGGTACATTTTCACATTTTATTTTAGAGGATTTTCTTTACTAATTTGGTTATACATGTAATTTTGTTTTACAGGAAATGTTTTCCATTGGACAATTGCCATCGAATGTTGACACAAAAGAGCTGAAAAGAGCCATATCATTTCTTATGGAAGCATTATCATTAATGACATCTTCTTGTCTCTTTTATGTTATGTTACAACTCATGGACTGCGTCTCACTAGTCCATGACCTTTCACCTGCAGTAAGTATATGCATATTGATTAGCTAATTATAAATATTAATTCAGGTTCTGTCTATGAGTTTATTTCTCAGACCACTCATTGAATTTTGATGAAACTTGGTTCATGGATGCTCTGAACTAATGCCAGGTTTTGATTAGTTTTAGGTGAAAATCTGTGCATAATAATTATCTAATTTGCATAATGATTAGTAAATTTTCAGCTTTTCTACTGATATCTCAACTACTAATCATAACTAATTTCAATGAAACTTGGTACCTACATGTCATAGGACACTGCACAGGCCTGGTAGGTTTTAGGGTAATATCAGTACATATTAATTACCTAATTTGCATAATAAATTCATTTTCAGCTTTTGATATTTCAAGTAGTAAGCATTACATTTCAATGAAACAAGGTACATAGATACTCAAGGACTATCCAGAGGTCGATTTTTTAGGATAAATATTTGTGCATATTAATCACCATTATTCACCATGCATAATTAATTAATTTTTGGATTTTCATGTTTATCTCAAATACTAATCATCACATTTTAATGAAACTTGTACATAGGTCCTCTAGGACTATGCAGAGAACTGATTTGTTTTGGGGTAAATAATTGTGCATATTAATAACCTAATTTGCATTATTATTTAATTTTCAGCTTTTCCACTGATGTCTCGAGTACTACTCCTCACCTTTAAATGAATCTAAACAGAGCAGAGAGCCAATTAGTTGTTGGTTCATATTTATGCATATTAATCACCTAATTTACATAATTAACCAATTTTCAACTTTCACACTGATATCTCAAGTACTAATCACATTTCAATAAAAGTTTGTTCATAGATGCTTTAGGACAATGTACAAATATGATCAGTTTTGGGTTAAAATCTGTTCATATTAATTCCCTAAATAATAATAATTCATATTTTTTTGGTTCTGATCACATTTCAATGAAACTTGGTACATAGATGGTCTGTTACATTATGCAGACCTTATCAGTTTTACACTCAAATCTGTTCATTTTAATTTTCTGATTTGCATAATAAGTTGCAGCTTTTCCATCAATATCTTAAGTACATGTACAAGTACTGAACATTTTTTCTGGCCCTTAAATATGTTTATATTTTATATGCAGATTTTTAAGAGTCGATTTATACAGTGTGTGTGTACTGCAGATTTCCCGTTATTTCATCTAGTCTTCTTATTAAAGGTAAATGCAATTCTAATGATTCATTTACTATTCCTATCTGATGATAATATTTACAAGTTCCACAAAATATAAATTCTCTAAAACATGCTTTCACTTTCTTGTTACTGTATGACCAAGCACACAATACAACAGTCACACAGGCGTAGATAATTCACCGACACAGAAAACACACCCTCCCAAGAGGTTTTTTAGCCCTGCAAAGTCGACACAGTGGAGCTGTTCATTATACTGATTGACCGCCGTCGTCGTCCCTCGTCGTCAGATTTGTTCATCTCATGGCAAAATCTCAAATTCTCTAATTTTGAACTATATTTTTGGTAAAAAGTGATATTTTTGACTTCTTGTTAAAAAACGGCAAGTCCAATTGCTTTGATATTACATATATAGGTACATTTTGTACTACATGTGGACCTCTCTCAGATTTGTTCATTTTGTAATGATATCTTTAATTCTCTAATTTTGGTGAATATTTTTGTCATTTTTGGTAAAAAGTGATATTTCTACTTCTTGTTAAAAACCACAAGTACGATTGTTTTGATACTATAAATATTGTTCATTTTCTAATGATATCTTCAATTCTTAATTGAAATGTGCATTGCTAACAGCGGAGCTGTCTCAGCCGACAGGCTTCTTGTTTAAGATACTAATGATTATTAACTGCAGCACCTAATGTTAAATTGTGAAATCCTTGTTCTACAACTCTGACTAATCTATCAACAATTTGTTCATTGCTTGATGATATCTTTAAATTCACTTTTTAGCTTCGCTGTTCAACAATTGCATTTTCGACTTTGATAATTTTAGCAAATATTTGTGAGGTATGTATGTCTAAATGGCAAATGAGACCAGGTGTGAAGATGCCATCTGTGGCCGTATTTGAGAGCGATTTAGAGACTCTTGGATGCCACAAAGACCAGAAATGAGACCGTGTTTGAGACCAGCTTTAGAGACTGTCAATTTGCACAGTCTGATTTGACCACCCTCTGACACCTCTTGCAATATACAAAGCCTTTGCTTCAGCATCCAAAATTTTAATCTGCTTTTCGTCACCATGAATTTCGGAACGGAAACACTGTTGACATTTGTTAGCATACGAGAAAATTAAGATTCCTGAAAAAAGAAAATGTGACAACATAAATACCATGTTTAGAGGACAATTCAACGACATACAAGATTGTATGATGAAGTGTATTCTGCAATGTGAAGCTCAAAATATTATCATTGTTGGATAATTTATTAACTGTGTTTATGGCTGTTGACATAATCGGTAACAAACGCGACAGAAAAAACAGATGCAATATTCACTCCATTGTACATATTTTTAGTCCCTGTTTGGTTGCAATTTAAACTTGGTACATATGTTCGACATTATGGGATCTTAATGCACAACATTTTATTTTTCAGATACAATTCAAAATGGCCGACTGGCAGCCATCTTGTTTTTTGAAAATGTAGTATTTTGGACATGCTTTGTCAGTTTTTATTCAAACTTGGTACATAGACTATAAATGTTAGGATACATGTCCATGACAATTTCTTTCGCAATTGGATCAAAGATGGCCGACTGGCAGGCATCTTGTTTTTTTTTTTTTTAAATGTGGTATCTTGAACATGCTTTGTAAGTTTTCATTCAAATTTGGCACCTACTTTATACATGTTAGGATACATGTCATTGACAATTTGTTTCAAAATTGGATCAAAGATGGCCGATTGACAGCCATACGACTTTTTGGCCTTACTACTATATTTCCAAGATTTTCATTCGTATTTGGCACATACATCATATATGTCACTTTGTTTCATAATCAGATCAAAGATGACCGAATAACGGCTGTTTTTATTTGTGGCCATATTACTATATCTCTGTCACCCATGTATCATTTTTATTGATATTTAGCAAGTCATAAATGGATACATGTACATGTCAATTCAATTTGCAATTTGAACAAATTTGGCCGACTGGTGGCCTTCTTGTTTGTTTAAAATGTGATAACTTGGACATGCCGGAGGGGTTGGAACCTTGATGTAAATAAACAATCGGCTGTATACGCCACTGGGACTCAAGTTACAAGGACATGCTCGCAACAACCCCTCCACTTTAATATGACGAGCACAAAGATAACTTTCAAAACTTTAACAGAAAGTGTTTCATTTTCAATTACTTGTTGTTCTAAAAATCATCAAAATCAAGCATTTCTCGGCTGTTTACAGATGGATTTTGTTCAAACTTTTATATACGTTGGACATTATAGGACCTTGATGCACATCATTTTGTTTTTAAGATAAGATTCAAAATGGCCGACTGGCAGCCATTTTGTTTTAATGAATGTGATTCTAGTGCCATATCTCTGACTTGCTGTGACTGATTATGTTCAAATTTTAAATATTCATTACACATCATGTCATAGATATACAGATATACTGGTTTGACGATCCTATTAAAAATGGCCAATTGATGGCCATTTTTGTGCTAAAAAATCATAAAAATCAAGCATTTCTCTGCTGTTTACAGATGGATTTTGTTCAAACTTTGTATATACATATACGTTGGACATTATACATGTAGGACCTTGATGCACATCATTTTGTTTTTCAGATAAGATTCAAAATGGCCGACTTGCGGCCATTTTGTTTTGATGAATTTAGTTCTAGTGCCATATCTCTGACTTAATGTGACTGATTATGTGCAAATTTTAAATATTCATTATACATCGTGTCATTCTATTAAAAATGGCAGAATGGTGGCCATTTTTGTGCTAAAAATCATCAAGTATCAAGCATTTTAATGTTAAAAAATCATCATAATCAAGTATCATCTTCTGGACCCATACTTCTGACATGTTTATGTTCCAACTATATTACTGTAAACAAAACTATATATCTATATGTTTATAAAATAAAATATACTAATTTCAAATCGTATGACTGTACACTTTGTTACTTCCGTTGTTCATGATGTATGTATGGCCTTAAAATGTACCATATGCGTGTACAAGGATGCGAGTAGCAAGTAGCAAAAATGTGCCGTATGCAAGTGGTAAAAATGGCCTATGCGAAGGGGTAAAATGTGTCATGTATTAAGGCTGTGATTTCGAAAACATACCTGGGAATTGTAAATTTCAAAATGCTACTCGATCAATAGTCACGATTACTTCTAGTAACCGTGATCTAGTGCTGAATTATCTCTGGAAATGTACATAATGCAAAGGCTGTGTTGCTTTTGCTAGATAGTTGCCGCTAGTGGTATTGGTCAACAACAAACATATTGGTAGTCCCCAAATTATTGCAAATGCTTAAAAGTAGTTGAAATCTATCCTTTATAAGAGATGGATGTGTTAGCTGAGAACAGTGTCTTTCGTAGAATGCTACATTTCTTAGTATATGACACATGTGATTTGATATTACATTTGTGAGTGCCTATGTGACCATGTAATTTGATATTACATTTCTTAGTGCCTATGTGACCATGTGCCTTAAATGTAATGGTCATTTGAAACCTTTTTATACCACATATGGAAATTGAATATTATGACTTTCCAGAAGCCAAACACAATAATTTGGTAATTGGTAGAATAGTCCCTTTACGATGACTCCTTTGATCACAATTTGTCATTGTACACTTGCTCAGTTTACTATAAATGCTATTGAATATGATCTACTGTGATGACTATAGGCAATCAATATATACTACTCAAAACAATTTAAGAAACACTTGAATATTCTCAGTTACAGCAAGATCCTTTATTTCAGATAAACCCATTTGGTCACATAATTGACGTGAAACATCTGCACAATGAAACAGATGATAAAGAATGCATGTAATCATTACACATTTTGTTACATGAGAGAAAAGTGTTGAAAATAAAAATCCCAGTTTATGGAACATTTCAATAATGGGTGTGACCACCTTTTGCAGTAACACATGCAACACAACGTTGCCTCATGGATGTCATTAATCTCTGCAGTGAACGTTGTGGTATTGCTTGCCACTCCTGGATCAACCATTGAGCTAGCTGACAACGATCCACTAGTGGGGGACGATTGCCCATAACACGAAGACCAAGTTGATCCCACAAATGTTCAATTGGTGCCATGTCAGGTGAATAAGCAGGCCTATCCATTCTGTTGATGTTGTGTTGACATAGAAAATCTGTGACAACACGTGCACGGTGTGGTCTGTCATTTTCATCCTGTAGAACTGCAGCAGCTCCTATCTTCTGTAGACAAGGTAACACAATAAGTTGCAGGATCTCGTCTCTGTAACGTAATCCAGCGAAGTTGCCATCAATAACATGGAGAGGGGTGCTTTGGTGGTAGCCACCCCATACCGTGATGCTGCCACCACAAAACTGGTTGTGCTGTCTGATGGTGGCGTCAGTGAAGCGTTCACCAGGGCATCTATAGACAAGAATACAACCATCATTGCTCTGCAAAGTGAATCTTGACGACAGAAGACCTCTGCCGCCGTGTGCTGTCGAGCTCAGTCTAAACGAGCAGTTCTGTGGCGTGGGGGAAGGACTGGCCTAACAGCCTAGGCCTGACATTTCTGGCCCTCAGACGGTTCCGTACAGTTTACCTGTATGTTTATTCTCATTTTTGTTTATCTGAATTATGTGTCTCTTCTGTTACAGTCAAGATTTCATGGTGAACTGTTTACAGATTCTGATGAAGAATTGATTATCAGAAGGTTGTTAATTTATGCAAATAACCCATCATTTACTTCAGGTCATAGGTTACTCTGCTATGATTGGTTGTTGCATTTTCCAGAAAACCAGGTAATGTTTAAAACTACAAGTAGCTAGTCTAAGAGAAGAAGAAACCATAATAATTACATTAAATGGAAATTATTTTTGTATTGACATTTCCTTCATATTGAAAATATTTATGTGTATGATTTATAAATAAATTCACTTCATTATCTTTCAATATTACCATATTTGGTATTAATAGTACAAGTAATTACATAAATAGTGAAGGTTTGTCTATGCTCAAAATAAGTCTTAGTTTTAAAATCTCTTTATTAGAGATGTACCTAATTTTTGTATTACAAATTTTAAAAATTGAAAATATTCTAGGTGTAACTGACCTTTTATGTACAAACAACTGTTTTCAACAATGCCTATTAATTGGGTAGTTTCTCATTATACTTTGTGTTATATCTCTTAACAGCAACAACCATCAATACATTCCGAAGAAGATATTCCAGCCACGTTAGATTATAGCTACTATGCTTCATTGTTCCCAAGAGTATTTGATGACATAAACACTAAAGTCACCAAACTGAATGTACTCAGTTTATGTTTTGAGCCTGGCAACACACCAGGTACATTTTATCTACAATTTTCAATTGTTCATATTTTTAGTCCCCGTTCGGACGAAGTCCGGAAACAGGGGCTTATAATTCGGTCTTCGTCCGTCTGTGTGTCCGTACATCCGTGCGTCCGTCCGGAGTCATATCTCAGAATCCCTTAGACCGATTCCGTTCATTCTTTGCATGTGCCTAGTACTTTATGTGGGACATATGCACATACAGTGGTTTAGCGATTCGATTCAAAATGGCCGACTGGCAGCCATCTTGTTTTTTGAAAATGTTGTATTTTGGACATGCTTTGTCAGTTTTCATTCAAACTTGGTACATAGATTATACATGTTAGGATACATGTCCATGACAATTTATTTCACAATTGGATAAAAGATGGCCGGCTGGCAGCCATCTTGTTTTTTGAAAATGTCGTATTTTGGACATGCTTTGTCAGTTTTCATTCAAATTTAGTACATAGATCATACATGTTAGGATACATGCCCCGACCGTCCGTGAGTTCCTGAGTCTGTCCGTCCGACCGTCCGTGTGTTCGTCTGTCCGTGCGTCAGTCTGTCCAACGTCATATTTTAGAATCCTGTGGACCGATACCGTTCATTCTTTGCATGTGCCTAGTACCTTATGTGGGACATATGCACATGCAGTGGTTTAGCGATTTGATTCAAAAAATGGCCGACTGGCAGCCATCTTGTTTTTGAA